AATAAAACGCAAATATGCTCCAATTCTTATAGTAACCAGAAGAATAGTTCAAAAGATTATTTATTTATTTAGTAAATACAGAAAAAATTCTTTAAAGGACGCTATATCAGAGGATAAACTTTTCATCACAAATTCTCTTTCAACTCCATAAGTGATTTGAAATTTAAAGTATAGAAAAAGTGAGTTCAGAGAAACCTAGGGTAAGTCATGAAATTTCCAAAACTGAAAAGAAAATTTCAAAATATCCAAAAGGTAATATATTATGAGAGGATAACTTGGGATTACGAAATGGCGAAGTTCTCTCCAAATAATTTATTTGTTTGCAGTTTGATATTTGATTTTCTTCAGCAATTGAACCTTCATGGCTTACTTTAGGTTTGCTTGAACTCACTTCTTCTATACTTTAACTTTAAATAAGTTATGGGAGTGAAACAGAATTTGTGATGGAAAGTTTCTCTCGCGGTACATATCATTCTCTTAATAAATAAAAGTTTAAAAAAAATTATTAATTTAGAAATATAAATTATTTTATTAAATGTAATAGAGCCCGGTGTCAAAACTAGCATGAGTTAATATAAACGCTCGATTTTGAGGAAACTAGAGACTTTTTCACGGTTTTAATATGGTGAGTACTTTGTCTAAAATTAATGTGTCAAAATTCCACGTGTTAAAACACCGACGTGAAAAACGTTGAATGTATTTTTTAATTGAACATTTAGAATAAATCATGTTACTGTCAAGCATTATTTGAGCTATCAAACAGGAAACTAAATACAGATATGATTTATTACCCGTTTCAATTAATAATACTTATAATTAAGAAAATTTCCTTAAGCAATTATAATCATGAAATTATGCACAAAAAATTAAAGAAATATAAAAATTTATATTAATATAACTTTTATTCAATGACTAGAGAACTAGAGACTTTTGCTCAGTTTTAATATGGTGAGTGCGCAGTCGAAAATTAAAGTGTCAAAATTCCACGTGTTAAAACACCGACGTGAAATACATCGAATGTATTTTTTAACTGAACATTTAGAATAAATCATGTTACTGTTAAGCATTATTTGAACTATCAAACAGGAAACTAAGTGCAGATATGATTTATTACCCGTTTTAATTAATAATATTTATAACTAAGAAAACTTCATGAACAATAATTATGAAAATATAAACAAAGAATGAAAGAAGTAAAAATTTAAATTAATGTAACTTTTTTTAACGACTAGAGAACAAGAGACTTTTCCTCAGTTTTAATGTGTGTTGTCGAAAATTGAAGTATCAAAATTCCACGTGTTCTCCATGGTTCACCGACGTGAAATACGTTGAATGTATTTTTTAACTGAGCAATTAGAATACATCATTTTACTGTCAAGCATTATTTCAATTATCAAACTGGAAACTAAATGCAGATGTTTATAACCCGATTTAATTAATAATATTTGTAATTCAGAAAACTTCATGAAGGAATTATAATCACAAAATTATAAACAAAGAAAGAAAGAAATTAAAATTTAATTTAATATAACTTTTATTTAACAACTAGAAAACTTGAGATTTCTCCTCAGTTTCAATATTTTGAGTGCTTTGTCGAAAATTGAAGTATCAAAATTCCACGTGTTAAAACACCGACGCGAAATATGTTGAATGTATTTTTAACTGAACTACATCATTTTACTGTCAAACAGTATTTCAATTATCAAACTGGAAACTAAATGCAGACATGATTTTTAATCAGTTTTAATTAATAATATTTATAATTGAGAAAACTTCTTGAAGGAATTATAATCATGAAATTATAAACAAAGAAAAAAGGAAATAAAAATTTAAATTAATATAATTTATATTCAGCGACTAAAATCAGATTGCAAGCTATGCATCATGAAAAAAAATGAAAAAACTATGACGAGTGATAACGTCGGTTCTCAGATAACTTAATAAAACCATTATCAAAACGCCTTTAGAAAAAGAGATAACGGTATTATTAACATAAAGTTCTTCATTTCAGTCACGTCCCTGTAGCGCAGTGGATAGCGCGTTGGACTTCTAATCCAAAGGTCCTGGGTTCGAGTCCCAGCAGGGATGAAAGTTGTCATGCACTAGGAGCTGACTTTTATTTTAAAACTAAATCGTTCTGTCACCACTTAGTCGTTTTAGCTGGTTGAGTGACGTTAAAACTGCCTTGATTCCCAACTTTTTCCATAATAAAGATAGTTTTCATACTAGACACCGAATCACAATTCGTAAAACGAAATCTATTAATTTGTATTAAGTGAATAATTATTTAATTATTTTTCATTTCTGCCACTTGTTTGGTTTGCCACTTGTTATGTTGTTCTGCCAATTGTATAAAATAATTTGATCCCATTTATTTTAATACAAATCAATTCATAAGCATCACTAACAAAATATACATATTTCTTTATATTAAGTGAATAATTTATTTATTTTACATTTTTGCCGATCATTTGGTTTGATCATTTGGTAACAATTAATCCGATCCGCTTTATTTTAATACACATCAATTCATAAGCATCACTTACAAAATGCATTTATTTGTATTAAGTGAATTTATTTTACATTTTTGCCACTTATTTGATTTAACCCATTGTATAAATTAATTTGATCAGCTTTATTTTAATATACATCAATTTATAAGCATTACATATTCACAAGAAAATACCGTTTTTCACGATTAAATACGGTGATTCTTACNTCAATTCAGAAGCATCACTAACAAAATATATATTTTTATATTAAGTGAATAATTTATTTATTTTACATTTTTGCCTATCATTTGGTTTGACCCATCGTATCAATCAATCTGATCCACTTTATTTTATACACATCAATTCATAAGCATCACTTACAAAATGCTTTTATTTGTATTAAGTGAATAATTTATTTATTTCACATTTTTGCCACTTATTTGGTTTAACCCATTGTATAAATTTATCAATTCATAAGCATTACTAACAAAATATATTTATTTATATTAAGTGAATAATTTATTTATTTTACATTTTTGGCGATCATTTGGTTTCACCCATCGTATCAATTAATTAGATCCGCTTTATTTTAATACACATCAATTCATAAGCATCACTTACAAAATGCATTTATTTGTATTAAGTGAATTTATTTTACATTTTTGCCACTTATTTGATTTAACCCATTGTATAAATTAATTTGATCAGCTTTATTTTAATATACATCAATTTATAAGCATTACATATTCACAAGAAAATACCGTTTTTCACGATTAAATACGGTGATTCTTACTTAATTCTAAATTTTTTAAGGAACTTTTTCTAGCATTAAGTCAAAATTGGTATTAAAAAATTTCTTTTATTAATAAATTATTAAATTTATTTTATTTGCTATAATCTTTAGAATTTATTTTTTCTGATGCTGATCTATAACTATCACAATGTAATACAAATTCAAGGGATTAGATCCATGTACTTTCGATCCATGAGATTTACGTAGAAAATTAGATTTATGATATTTAAGAAAAAGATTAATTCGTGGAACTTCGGGAACTGTTCCCTTTATGAATTTAATCTGATTATATTTGATTTATTTGAATTCACAACTATTACCTTAATATTTAAATATTATATCACAGTTTACAATTTATTTCGAATTATTTTAATCTATTTTTAGCATAATAAATTACTTTAATGAAAAAACTTACTAAATTACTTTAATGAAATAAAATATTGCTTGTCTACCAGCTCTTTTGCTATGGGGGTCAAGTTAAGGCTACGTAATTTTGTGACCTACAGCACGATGAGGGTAATTTAGTCAGTTTTGCGCACTTGCCACATTTATTTCCAAACAAGCTGTTACCCATTGATCTGAAGTTGGATAGGGTTCAACCCATCACTAAGGATAGAACACCAGTTCTACACTATGACAACTAAGCACCTTGATCACTGTGCTACAGTGACACATTTAATCTACATCTTCAACATATTAATCTACACCTTTTCCAATTTACCACTGCCTCGTTTTTCATGTTAATTTGATAAAATCCTGGTGAAAAGATTCCATAACTTTTCATGTATTTTGAGTTATTTGAATCATAATTTTTCTTAAGTTTTGTATGCATAGTGTCACAATTCTTATAATAATTAGTTATTGCTTATTATCTGTTTTACTAAATTAAACTCACAACCAATATTAATAAAGTCAACTAATTTAAAATAGAAATGTGTGTTAAATAAGATAGAAACATGCTGAACAATTTCCATATAATTATCTATTTTACAGTATTAATGTGATGAATAATTCTAATAATAAATTCAACTAATTTAAATTTAAAATGTGTGTAGCATACACTTGAAACACATTGAACAGAATTATTTACTGCCTATTATCTATTTTATGTATTAATATAATGAACAACGAGATTGAAAAGATGCGAATTCAAAATTTAAACATGTGTAACATGCTTAAATTGGAACACGGTGAACAATTTATTTAATATATTTTACTTATTTTACTGTATTATACGGAGAAAAAATCATGGTATAATTGAGATTTGTGGTTAAAAAAACAACATAATTCTGATAATAAAAACCAAAATATATAGTATTTAAATCATTCAGTTGGAAATTTTTCCTTTCATATGGTAACAGTTTTATTAAAAATTATAATTAAAATTATTAAAAATTATAGTTCTTATTGCCTCACATTTAGTAAAAATAAAAAATTTAAACGTATATTTAACCGAATAAATAGTTTTTATGCCATGCTATAAGATATCATGATAAAATTACTTAATTTTACCATATTTACCAAATTTTGTCACACATTATAAAACCATATTTTATTGCTAAACCAAAATCATTACCAAACCAAGTCGGTAAAAGTTACCAAATTTTTTTCATGTTCCTATAGAGCCAGAAGCACGGTATATTTTACCATATTATGGTTGTTGTTACCTTACTTTTTACTCAGTGTAATAGTCATAGATTTAGAAATATTCATACCTTGCACAAGCAGCCTTAAAGAAGCTCTCTGCTCATCATTTATTTGGCACTGATAATCAGCAGAATCTGCATAAACTACATTTTGAAGATATAAAGCATCACTAAGCAAATTAACATGGGGTTCAGCTTCCCATAACACAGTCTGTTCGTCGTGCACTTCTACTATCTTGCGATAATCCTTCCACCATGTAAGGGTTCGAATTGGTCCCTCATTAGGGGAACATGGCAGGGAAACATTTGCACCGGCTCTTACAAATACCGGTTCAGGAGGTTCTTCTTCTTCCTCTTCTGTTAAAAAAAAAAGAAAAAAAAATAGTTAATTAAGAGAACAACTAATGTACATATAAAGTCTAATAAAAAAGTTTTTTTGTTAAGAAAATTAAAAGAACAATTTTTATTTTTATTTTTTTTATTTTTGGCGTATGCCTGTTTAGGCAATGGGGGTGCGATTGCTCCTGTTTTTCAGTGGCGCCATTTATGGCCAGGAATTCAACTTCTGCCACGCCATTCTCACAACCACAACCCTTTTATAGGGCGGGTCACATTCACACACAAAGGAGAAAGGACATAGAACACACAGAGAGAGAAAGAAACATCCATGCCTTGCTCGGGATTCGAACCCATGACCTTTCTGATGCAAGAACAGTTCCCTGCCCCCTACACATGCCGGTCAGCAAAAGAACAATTAAATGTGTGTTATAAAAAAATTTATTAAAACAAATCCAATTGATCAAGAAATTATAATTCTTAACAACACTGGTGTAAAAAAATTAAGAGAATTTGTAGACTTGCTTGATTATCTCTAGAACTAAGGGACCGATATGCACATAGGTTGATATGTACATGCATTTGATATGTACATACATTGATACAATACAAAACAAATAACCATTCAACAATTGTAATACACGCTCCTGATCATGCGTAACACGCTTTGGAGTCGGAAGGTATAAAACAGCGGTGTCCGAATAAACAAAACAAAAAAAATGGGTTAATAGGGGGTAAGGTCCCCTCTTACAGATATACAAGCCTTTGCAGCGTGATTTCATTCTTGAAATAAGGCAGTTGATCATTTCCTGTGGCAATTTGCCTGGATTGCCCTGTGGCAATTTAAGACCTTCCCACTCCAACGAGTGGTACGCACGTTCATGCTTGTGTATTACAATTGTTCAATGGTTATTTGTTTTTATTGCATCAATGTAAGTACATATTAAATTTCTTTAAAATAGGACCAGTAGTTCTAGAGATAATCGACCAGGCCTGCAAATTCTGTTAATTTCTTACAACAGTGTATTTATGCAATGTGTAAAAAAAGTCCAATTATCCTGAATAGTTAGAGCTTACTAATGTCTAGCTTACGTCTGATTTTTTTAAACTACAATTAAAAAAAATAGCAAAATACGGTACTTCAATTACAATATTCACACAGCTGTTTCTTTAAAAACAGCTTCCATCAATTTCAGTATCGAACATGGATTGTTAAATGGGGTTAAAAACATTTTATGATAAAAATAAAATATTTCTGAACGCTGATTAAAAATGTAAATTTTAGAAAAATTTTTGATCACTGCGACATATCATGCGAAGTTAAAGTGGAGTTAAGGTGAATTATTTGGATATTTGCATCAGAAATATAAATATCACAAGCCGAAATCATCAGTGGGAGGAGATTTAATGCCATCGGAATAACATTGGATCTAAAATTTAGTTAAACACTAAAATGCTCCATATGTGTCGGACGATGATTGCTTTTAGTGAGTATATGAGCTAAATTATGCAATGAAATATACCTCTTTACTTGAGTAAAAGATTATAATCATGCACGAGTTAATTACATTGTGAAAAGAGAAAAAAAAAACAAGGCGTATATTGAAATTACAAATATAGCTGTAAATACAATTATATTATTGCTGTTTTCCAGAAAAATGTAGAATGACAGAATCAGGTTAGCTTAAAATTACAGTCGGACTTCTATTTAACGAACTTCCATTTTGCGAATTTCTCTATTTTACGATTTCTTTCGAAGGACATTTGGAAATTTATTCGTAAAATAACTTCCAAATATCGAAGTGAATTTTTTATTTCACGAACTTTTCTTTGAGATCCATTTTCCCTATTTTCCAAAATATTTCAGAACATTTCAAACTTTAACGCATTTTATGGGAGATTTGACCTTGAATTGATTTTCGAAGCCACTTAACTTTTAGAGAAAGCAGTAAACTCCCTTTCCCTTTTCATTAGCATTTCAAAGGAAAACCTCAGACAAAACGGATTTTTTAAGTAGCAATTAAACTTAAAAACGTATGTGGCAATGTATGTTTAAAATTACTTTTAAAATAAATGCAGCAATAATTTCATATATAAATTCAGCTCTTCTTAGTTGAAAATGCTTGTAGAATGTTTTGATGTATAGATGATAGTGTAATCCTGAAGAATGTTTTGATCTATTCTTGCTTTCCATGCAGATTTCGTTTATGGTTACGATTGATAAAATAAATAAAAGATACTAGTTTACAAGATAAAGGTGTATCAATTGCTATTTTAATTATGTCTAGTGTTTATGAATTTAAAACTTATTTTGTGTTGTTTAAGTTCTTCAAATGGTGATTTTCTATTTAACAAATTTTCTATATAACGAACTTATTATCGAGATTTAGTAACTTCTTTAAATAGAGGTCCAAATGCATAATATTTTGCGTTTGATATGATTCTTCTTATAACTCATAGCTTTTAACCCTATGAAGTAGAATTTTATTTAATATATTTTTGATACTTTTTCATTATTTTGTATTAATTAGGTCAAAATAAGTGAAAAATATTATATTCAGTATTTTTATAATTTATGGTTATGAAATTAATTATAGTTATGATAGTTATTTAGCGCCAAAGATAAAAATCTTCCAAACTCGGTTCACTTCCAATAATTTTTCAAATTTGCCTTTATTTGCAATTATTTAGATCTAAGAGAACCAGTTATTCGTAATTGAAATTTCTTTAAGTTACAAAATCAATTATTGATAAATTTTTGAATATGAATGAAAAAAATATTTTTCGAACTGCTTTTTTTATTTTATATTTGACTAAAAATACAATTCCGTTGATCTAACAGAGTTTTTAGTAACTATTAGACTCTTTTTTTGTAATTAAAAAATACCAAAACATATTTTTTTTTGTAATTAAAGCGTCTGAAAAAAAACCTATAAAAGGGACACCAGGGTCCCATCAGCGTGAAAGGGTTAAAGATTAATCAGCATTCGTACTTGTCGGTTTATCAGATAACCACCATGTAGAGAAACCATTAAAATTAAAATTAAATCAATATCGAAGGAAATATATCTGATTTCCCTTTCTAAAAATACAAATTTGATGAAACCATGGGATATATATAGAGCCCACAATTCCCTACCTTACCATTTCCAATACACAAATTCCTTAAACAGCCAAACTATGTTATATGTACTAAAAACTGCTGTAATAAGAGGTTAGATAATTTTTAGATGGTAGATACAGAACTGACCATACAGAATTTTCATTTTTAAGATAAATTAAAACTATTTTTATTAAAAAGAAATTTGTATTTGGTTGCGTTATTGTACTTTATGAAATATTGTTGATAATTAATATAACTGAGAATATTAATGATATTACTGATAAGATAACATTCAATTGAATTAATTAAGGTTTAAAAACTGGTTGACAATATAAGATCTTACACAAAAAAAAGAACAAAAAATTTAAAAAATCAAAACATTATTTGTTTATTACTAACCACGATAGACAATGAAAAGTAATTTAAATTAAAAATTTCACACATCTACAAGCAACAAACAATTCTTTCATGGGTGAATTAAAAGTTTACTTTCATGATAGTAGAAGGTTGTTGACCAGAAAGATAATTACGTAAATGATAAAAGTTAATTTGTATTGATTAGAATTATTTAGGAAGGAAAATAGATTTGACTCGTTTTTATTGTTAACATAATAAAATCTCAAGCCTACGAAAAATAGCATGTTTATTAAAAAAGTACTTTTTTGTCTTCAATTTCGCTACTTGAAGCGTCATCTGTACAAATTATCATATTTAAAGTCTACTTTCTTGAACCACCAAAATTGAATTTCAGTACATGAAAAGTTAACAACAAAAGTTATAAGGTTTTTTTCTTCTTTTTTTTTTCTTTTTGCGTACGGTAAATTAGAGAAGGTTGCTTTCACTACCTAATTTCGAATCTATAACATCAACATATAACAGTCAATAACAACATATCATTTCATCACACAACTATTCGAAAATAATTAAGACAGAGTATCGTATTTGCATCAGATTTTGTGTAGGAATTTGGAGTTTTAAAAACCTAAATAGTCATTTAAGTTATGGAAATAAATAAGTGTAATAATAGTTGTAACAGTTCATGAAAATCATGAAAATGTAACAGTTCACAATCATGAAAATATTGCTTCCTTAATCAAAATAACGTTTACTTATTAATGTTTAGCAACATCAAAATATTTAATGCTTAAATAATAGAATGATATCTTAAATAAACAATATGTTATTACTTCATCACAAAAACTGTTCAGAAATAAATAAGACGTAGTATTGTATTTATGGCCGTTTTTAGGCAGTAATATTGAATTTGGAATTCTAAAAACCTAAATCGAATCATTTGAGCTTAAAAACAAATAAGATGGTAAATAATTGCAACAAAGGTTACACATTCATGAGAATATTGTTTCTTTTATCAAAATAATGTTTACTTATTAATATTTAACGACATCAAATATTTAATGCTTAAATAATCGAAAGATTCACACTTTAAATTAAAACTAAATACAAAAATACTAACATTCAATAATAATAATAACTAATACTAAAATAAATACAATAATAATAATAATTTGAAGTAAAAAAATAATGTTTTCAGCAATCTTAAATAATAACTTAAATTTTTTCATTTTAACTTCTTGGTTCAATTTTTAAAATAATAATATCACAATAAAAAAAAAATCGAAGTGATTTATTACCATTGGTCGAAATAAACATTTTATTTTTCATAGAAAAATTGTCAAGATATCTAGATTTAACAAAGAGAATTGTGGGAGCTAAAAAAAATAATAAAATACGTTCCTAGTTTACTTTCACAAATTTGAAACAAGCCTTTTTTTATTACGTTTTGTTTGATTTATAAAAACGTTTTCTTAAAGTCAAACACAACTCTTTTTACTGTTTGAAAAGAGAGAAATGGAATCGCAATTTAGGGGAACAATAAACTCTTGTATTTTCTTTCAGA